TCAAAGACAATTTTTAATATAACTCCGACTGGATTCGTCTGAAAGAAGAAAGTCATATACACCTAGGATGACTTGAGGGTGAGTAATTTATGGGCTCATTTTCATTTTTGGGTGAACTATAACCCTTTAAGGACTCAATGGTGTTCTGCCAAAATAAAAGCTTGATGGTTTAATGTTTGAAAAAAAAAAATCATAATTTTAGAAATTAAAAAATGTATTAACATTTGAAAATTATTTTATTATATTTTATAATATTATTATATTATTATATTATATATAGTATATTATGTAGTTATTGTATTTTAGTATTGTAATTATTAGCAATTTAATTTTACAGTTGTACTTTAAATTGTTTTCTTTAAACAAAAAGTTTTTTTTTTTTCCTTTAAATCACAATCACACTTTTTTTATCTGTTGGACTGTAAAATACTTTTTCTTAAATAAATAAATAATTTAAAATTATTCAAATTAAATTATTTATAATTCAATAAATTATGTATAAATTATTACAATTATTATTGTTGTTATTTTTGTTGTTGTATAGTCATATGGATAAACAATTAAAAAATGACCAGACTGAGCAGCCCCAGCAATTCGATTTTTCCTACAAGTCATGCAGCCTAGTTTCATTTAATCACACATTGACATCCTACAAAACAGTGTTGACTTTATCTGCAAGTTTTATGCATTATCAACAATAGGTAAAACAGATGACGCTAAAGTCTCTGAAAAACGCCGCATGTCTCCCAATTCCAACATCGTCCAGCATTCCTCCTCCGACGCCGGTCGAAGCAGCGGAGACGAAGCCAAGAAAACACCCGCAGGCCGAGTCCCCACAAGCACATTTGGTTTCAAGAAGCCCAACGGCGTCCATGGCCCGGCCAATGTGGTAACCACCTCCAGCATCACTCTGGTGACAGCAAGCGGCGCCACCATTACCAGCGGCTCCGCCACCCTGGGCAAGATTCCCAAGTCCTCCGCCCTTCTGGTCGGTGGGAGAGGGTCATTAAAAGGAGCTGTGGATGGTTTATTGCCTCCTCAGGAGGATGGCTACCTGTCCCCCAGTGCTCGTTCAACACTGCAGTACCGAAGTCTACCTCGACCCTCTCGTTCCGGAGCCACGGCCCGCAACGGAAACCGATCGTCCACTAGCAGCATTGAGTCAAGCTTGAGTTCCCGAACACCTGTCCTTACTGCTGTCACGGCCAGCAAACCAAAAGATTCTGCCACTAAAACCAACGGGCACATAATCCAAGCCAATCAGACGGACAAAGAGAAGGGCGTGGCCTCAGAGATGGACAACCTGAGAACCAATCCGATTGTTTCGGGAGGAGGGGCGGCAACTATTCCACAGACAGTGAGACAGGGAAACAAGTATAGTGAGGTCTCGTCTCCAACATTGCGAAGGTACAAAAAGGCACGGGGCAACATACCACACACAGAATTTCACCCTCATAAATCAGAGTTTCCATTGACGCTTCCTCAATTAATAGCTCCATTCATCTTCTCAGGCCCCTCTTACACAGCCAAACATGTGAAAGAAGGAATGAGTTTTTGTAACTTCCTCCAGCTCCATGATTAGGGTCTTTCTGAAGCTGTTTACATAACCTGCTTTATGACGGTTATGGATCATGACTCTCCAGGGTGGCTCGCGTTTCCCTCTGAGCTGCTCGTGTTATTGATGAGCAAAGCTCTTTTAATCTTTTTCCACTATTTTTAAGGATAGAACCATGTTTTTGTCCTCAGCTTCAGGGGTTAAAAAGGGACAAAGTGAACATTTAAGGTTGAAAATAAAGAGAAATAGAACTTCGTAAGCGTCACTCTCACTTAGTATGCATATTGCTCAAAACAAAACACATAACTCTTTGTATTAA